TATGAAAGTAACTGTTCAATTCTATTTTGTTCAGAAGTTCCCCCAAAATTTTTCAATATAAAACATCTAACAATAAGTTCCATTTGATATAAAAAATTTCCTAAAACTTCTAAATAACGTGTATTTTCACATATTTTATATATTATATATAAAATATAATGCACTTATAGTATTATTCATTTCTATATATTATATACTATTATTATTCATTTCTACATATTATATACTATTATTATTCATTTCTATATATTACATACTATTATTATTAATTTCTACATATTATATACTATTATTATTCATTTCTATATATTATATACTATATTGCATATAAAATATCAATAAAAATGTCCCTATAAGAAAATAACTATGCATTCAATTCTATTCTGTTGAGAAATTCCATGTATGTAGTGTATTTATTGTAGTGTAGTGTATCATTGTCTACAACAAAGTAAAAATTTTTATCTGCAGATTTCGTTGATATCGTAACAACAGTATTTCTAACGCTGATAATGTTTTATTAATGTTTCTATCTAGACCTTTCTCGTAACATCCTACGAAAGACATAATCCACTCATCGGAGAAAAAAGAAACGCAAAAGCGTATCACGTACGATTGTATGAAAAAAGGATTACTCACTACAGGCCTCAAAAATTGAATACCGTTTGCCAAACATTAAAACAGATTTCGAACGAACCTCTTGATAAAATATACATACAGTAATCTACGTTTTGCTTTTCCTTTATTTTGCACTGTATGTGACTTAACTATCGTGTAGCACTTCACGTTTTTGTGACAGAAAAAACAATGGTAGAACGGCACAGAAGTGAAAACTACACACAACACGAACCGTAAGAGCGCACACGCGTTACTAGCGGGTAGAAGCGCGTTCCGCGTTTCAAGCTCGAGATGCCGGCGGCGCCATGACACTCGTCGAGTCAGCGAATGGGGGAGAAGGAAGCCGGGGAGTGGGGATAATAGATAACTCGCGCGCAAACGCGCGCCAAATTCGTTTCTAGATATTCCCGAAAGTCGTTGCATAATATTGAGTTGATAGAAAAATAAATTTTTGATGTTACAAAAATCTTTAGAGTTTTCAAATGGTATAATTGATTTATAACTCTCTATTCTCTGCCATAATGCGTTTTGTAATGATTTAAAAGAGTATAATCAACTTTTTTTTGTAAATGTAAAATACTATTTTATGAAAATTAGTAATAGATTAACTTATATCATTATGATTTCCAGCACTTTAAATTTATCATGTAGTTCAAAACATGTCCGAACATTTAGACAATTTTTATAGATATATTATGTGTGTTATAAGAAATATCTTGAAATTTCATTGTCAATGAACGAGAGATGATTATACTAATAAAATCTGAAACAATTTTGGGAAAATTTATTGTAAATGTACATTTAGTACAAAATTACTATACAATTAATAGATGATATTAATACTTAATACTGTTAAGATTGTTCTAAAATTGATAAATTAATTACTCAAACACTATTTTCAAATTCGTTTCAGATTTGAATTAGTAGTGATAAATGGAATTAAAAATCATATAGCATTACAATGCTAATGTTTCAAAATGTTTCGCATGACATACATAGTAGATGATATATTAATTTCAAAAATTTGTTACAATTAATAACTGTTGCGATAATTTCACTTGGCGTGAGGCAAGTTCAATTCTGTTTAATAAAAGTATTCTTGCACTTGTGCCTCTAAAAATACGTCTGCCCTTTATTTCATGCGGATTCGTACAAGCAATTTCTATAGAGTTATTGATTTCGGAATGAATGTTCTGACGAGTGTGATATCTTGCTTGAAGAGTGGTCTCCACATGTCGGAAATGCAGACGTAGTTTTAAATGGATGAGACACAGCTTTATCCGTCATAGAATAGTGTCTCTTGCATATTGCAAATCCTGACGTATCTTACAAATGTGTACGTTAACATGATTCCATTTAATCCGTCTACTGTTAGATAAGCAAATTCTTCGAGAAAAAAACATATTTTTTAAATCAAAAAGATAAACATATATATATATATGTTAATTATCAAAATATAATAAATAAACAAGATGTATTTACATGTCCATTATTATAAAAAAATGAATTTACAGGTTAATTAAAGATTTAAAAGAATATTTCTTCTATAAATTTTATTTGTGAAATATGCAAATAATAGAATTTGCTTGAATATTATTTTTGATAAATATTATGAATAGTGTTAAACGATATATATATTTAAATACGATATATATATATATATTATTAAATATCAAAGTATAAATAAATAAAATAAATAAAAATTAAAAAATAATATAAAATAAATAAAAATAAATAAATAAAAAAATAATATAAAATAATTGTATTTATCTCATATAAGATTCTTAGAATTTAATAATAAATATATTCACTTTATGGAAGTATTACTTTTTAGTTTTACTTTATATCTTATTTTGAAATAAAATATATATCCTTTCTATAGTGATCTAAATGTAGTATCTAAAATTATTTTTCCCTAGATATTCTCATTACAATATTATTATTATTAGTTCAATAGCATTGATAATTTTCTCGTTCTTTAATAGCTTCCATTTTATATATTAATATTAATATAAACAGAAAAATGTTTGACAATAAAAATTGTCAATACTAACACAAAAATACACTACATAATTGTATTGAATTTATAGACTACTAAATTCAAAACATGCTTGAGGATGTATCGTGCATTTAAAGTGAAACAGCCAATAACAAAATATATTTAATTACTTTTTACAAAATATTGTATTAAATTGTATCATTTAACTAATAATTTTTTTCTTAGATATTTGAAAACTTATGTGTGGAAATTAATATTTGCAAATTCTTTTAAAATACTGATTAATTATTTGTTTAATAAAGATAATAAAAATCCAAACCAATTATAAAATAATCATAATATAGAATTTTTACAAAGCTAAACGTCGCTCAAAGTGAAACTCATAATAAAAATACCAAACTAAATACCTCCCCAAATTTACAAAATTTTACAGTATTTAACTTTCTCTCATTTAAAAATTCGAAAAATATATCATCTCCCTATTTTTATGTTCGGTAAATATTAAATTTTCAATAAACATTAAATTAAAAATATAAAAAGTTGCAAATTTAAATATATAAGATGTATAATACAAATCTAAATTATATTATTAGTGGAAATTTGACTTAATCTGATTTTTAATTGAAAATTATTATGAACTACTCGTTTCAAAGTTCCATTATATATATATATATGTATAAAATATTGTAAATATTAATTTGTATATATATACAAATTAATATTTACAATA